CATTGTCGGAAACCCCCAAAAGGCCAACAGCAAAGGGGGAGGGATGTCCCTGGATGGTGGTGTGTAAGGAGTTGGCACCATCCCTGTGGGCCACACTTGAGTAGAGAACAGGCCTCTGCCTCCACGGAGCCTGCAATCCAACCATCCTCAGGAAGGAGACGAGGAGAGGAAGCCGGGTGTGATGGTTTTCCGACATGAGGGAAGCAGGGGCCACCCCTGCCCGGAAATGAAGGGGCAGGCCCCAGGTCGGATCCGCAGGCGGTGAGGGGATGGTGTGTCAGGCCTCTGCCCCTCCCCAGTTCCTGGGGGCAGTGAGAACATGGTGAGCCACCATCAGAAACGTGGCTTTCCAAAGCCCTCTGTGGGTTCAAGGGTGTGGCCGCCAGGCGCAAGGCCTGTTCAACCCCAAGGGGTGCCAAAAGGAGAAAGAGAGAGGTTTAGGTCCCCTGGAGGCAGCCAAGATTCCCTTCCCACTCCCTTCAAACCTTAACAAAGACAGCCCGACATTTGGGATGGGGAGGCAGATGCCCACCTCCCCTAGTCATGAAGTAGCTCTGTGGATGGAAGGATACTCAGATTGGGACTGGGAGGCCACGATCATCTTCACCTGCAGGACAGAGAAGGCTTGGTTTCTGCTCCTCCAGGAGGGCAGGACCCGAACCAGCTGGGTCACATGGCAAGAAAGATTTCAAGAACTTCCTAACAGGTCTGAGCACACTCCTGTCCTGCAGGGAGTCCTGGACCCTTTGTGCACAGCAGGAGAGGAAGCTGAACACCTTCCATATGCGTTGGAACGGATTTTTGGTATCACCTGGCAGGACAATGTTCCAAACAGAGTAGTCCTAGAATGAGCTGGAATTTTTAGCATGTATACATTATTGAAACAATGACGTCTACATTGGCTTGGCCATGTCATGAGAATGGCTGATGGTCGGATTCAAAAAGATCTCTTGTATGGAGAGTTAGTGCAGGAAAAGTGCCCCAGAGGTAGACCACAGTTGTGATACAAGGAGATCTGCCAGCGGGATCTGAAGGCCTTAGGAATGGACCTCACTGGAGACCTTCCGTTCAACCCCAGGGGGTGCCAAAGGAGAAAGAAAAAGGTTTAGGTCCCCTGGAGGCAGCCAAGATTCCCTTCCCACTCCCTTCAAACCTTAACAAAGACAGCCCGACATTTGGGATGGGGAGGCAGATGCCCACCTCCCCTAGTCATGAAGTAGCTCTGTGGATGGAAGGATACTCAGATTGGGACTGGGAGGCCACGATCATCTTCACCTGCAGGACAGAGAAGGCTTGGTTTCTGCTCCTCCAGGAGGGCAGGACCCGAACCAGCTGGGTCACATGGCAAGAAAGACTTCCTGACAGGTCTGAGCACACTCCTGTCCTGCAGGGAGTCCTGGACCCTTTGTGCACAGCAGGAGAGGAAGCTGAACACCTTCCATATGCGTTGTCTCCGATGCATTTTTGGTATAACCTGGAAGGACAACGTTCCAAACAGAGTAGTCCTAGAATGAACTGAAATTTTTAGCATGTGTACATTACTGAAACAATGACGTCTACATTGGCTTGGCCATGTCATGAGAATGGCTGATGGTCAGATTCCAAAAGATCTCTTGTATGGAGAGTTAGTGCAGGAAAAGTGCCCCAGTTGCGATACAATGAGATCTGCCAGCAGGATCTGAAGGCCTTGGGAATGGACCTCCACAGATGGGAAACCTTGACCTCTGAGCGTTCAGCCTGGAGGCAGGTGGTGCATCACGGCCTCTCCCAATTTGAAGAGACCCTTGTCCAGCAGGCTGAGGCAAAGAGGCAGTGCCGAAAGCAGCAAAATCAGGGAGCTGGACAGGGGAGAGACTGGATTTGTCTTCAGTGTGGAAGGGATGGTCACTCTCGAATTGGCCTTCTCAGCCATACTAGACGCTGTTCCAAGACCTCTATTTGAGCACATTACCATCGTCTCTTGAGACTGAAGGATGCCTAATCTAACAGGTCTGTTTGGCCATGGAACAGGAGGCGGTGGGCTCTCTTTTGTGGGAGGTTTTTCTAAAGAGCTTGGATAGCCCCCTCTCAGGGGAACTTCAGCTGGGCCTCCCAACTCTGCAGTTCTGTGATTTTTATGATGCTATTTGCCCAGCTCTGCAGAAACTCTTGAATCAGTTCCCCAATGCATGGATAGCATAACTCCATTGAATTCCTTCCATTCTTCCACACAGAGAGCTTCCCCGTCAGCACACCCTATGGAATATTTTAAAAAAGCTGCCATTCACGGTGGAGCACAGTGGAGACTGCTCCCCTGCAGCAGCTGACCAGTGGGGAGGACACTGGCGCTTGGCTGGGAGATTCTGGGTGATGGAAATACAAAACAAGGAACATTTCTGGGCTGTGCACTTGGGGGGGCATCACACATTTTGTAGCACAAGATGAGAAACCTCTGCCTCCCCCCCCTCAGTTCCTTACAAACTGGGGCCATGCTAGGGCTTTTAGCCGATGACAAGCTAAACAGTTTGGGAATGGGGGGCAAAATTTTCCCCAGCCTTTGTGTTGCTAGCATCTAAAGAGGCAAAAAATATCCTCGCCCTCTGAACTTACTTCCAGGATAAAACACTTCCGTGGGGAAGAATCGGGGCCTCCCCTTTAGCTGGGAGGATTAATAGTTGTTTTATGTCTCTAATTGCACCTCCTCTCCTGGGCCAAGTCAGTGCGTCCCCCACCCCCACCACCTCGTGGGGTTCTCCCTGTATAATGTGAAGGTGATGGAGATTTATTTGCGAGGTTGCCATGGGGCTGAATGCGGCAAAGGCCGTAATGTGGTTTGTTAGCCCTGCAATCAAAGCAGAAATGGGTTTGGTGACTTTCGGAGTTGCTCTACACCACTGTAAAAAGATAAGTGACTTTGTCCCTGCAGAGGGGCACGTGTGCCTGAATTTTTGGAGCATTTGGCTTCCAGATCTCCTCCTGGGGTGAGTGAATCCCCTGGATATCTCAAAAACGACCACAGGAACCGGTGCAGTGACCGACAAGTGGAGCTTGGCTTGCAAAAGTCCACTTTTGAGAGACACCGTTGCCAGCGTGGCTGATGGCGAGGCTGGCCAAAAGATCCTGGGAGCTGTGTTGAGAGAAAGACTTAGGAAGCAGGAGGTCCCTCACTCGGGTGTTATCACTGCTGCGTTATCTTTTGCCGGTCAGTTTATCTGGCCAGGCTGGAATAGTCAGAGGGAACAGAAAACGTGACTCCCTTGAGGACTTCCGTCACAGCCCTGCACGGTTTCATCCCTTGCTCTCATGGCCTTCCCAAGCTCCCCTTTCTTTGCACCTAGTTATGAATTACTCAAAAAATGTTAATCCGCCTCCCCCACAAGGCCACCCCCTCGTTCTCTCCTTTCTTGCACCCCTCTTTTAAAAAAAACAGTTCTCCGAATGCAGCTCCACCGCAGAGCATCACCCCGGGGTTCATTGTAACAGGTGTCTTGCTTTGTATCCCATCCTTCACAATCTCTCCATGTGGAATCTACCTTTTTGTTATTGTTGTTGTAACAGTTGTTGTGTCACTGGGCCATCTGCCATGATCCAAATATTGTTTTCCTTGGTCATTGCCAACTCAGAATACCTGGGCACGGTGGGGTGGGGTGGGGCTGGTTGGCTGGCTGGCAACATTAGTTTACACCCCAAACAACACTCACATCTCAGTCTGTTGTTCATTTGCCCCGTCTTGAGACATCTTCATCTTTGAACTGCAGGGCTGGAAGGGGCCCTATGGATCATCAAGTCCAGCCTTGTCAAGGAGGCACAGCGGGGAATCGAACCCCCAACCTCTGACTCCAAAGCCAGAGACCTCAACCTCTGAGCTATCCAGCACTTCAATGATAACCATTTGCCATCAGGTCAATTCTGTCTTATGGCAATGCCTACGCAGAGTTTTCCAGTTTGAGAGTACTTGGATATGGTTTCCTATTCCCTCATTCCTGGGGTGGCCCGGGGGGGGGACTGTGCAGCTTGCCCAAGGCCACCTAAGCTGGCTCTTTTCCCAGAAGGCACAGTGGGGAATTCAAACTCCCAACCTCTGGCTCTTTGCAGTTCCCGCACACCTTGAAAAGGTGTGTCTGTGAGGGCCAGCCTTAGCTCCTTGGGACCTAACCACACGTACAGGTTGCTTGGATAATTTTTGAAGCTTCGTGCGGGCCCAGGACTCTCATCCCTCTGCAAACCATCTTCTTCCTGTGGATTTCTGGTTCTGGAACAGGTTGCCCATGCATAAGGCAGGATCCTGGCCCAGCCAGGCCCTATTGATCTGGTGTTGGCTCACCTTGAGTAGACTCATTTTACCGACCTCGGAAGGATAGAAGGCTGAGTCAACCTTGAGCCGGCTACCTGGGATTTGAACCCCAGGTCGTGAGCACAGTTTTAGCTGCAGTACAGCATTTTAACCACTGCGCCACGAGTAGAAAGAGAATGTTAAGCATGCCTCATGTCGCTTCTGATTTTGTCACCCTTTTTCAGTGCAATGAATCTTCAGTTGGAGACCTTCCGTTCTCCTTGGACGCTTCAGGCTAGTTAGAACGTGGAATTTCTGGAGTTGTGACTCACAGGCAGGAGAGCCAGGGAGAAAGGATGGGCCTTTCCCTCTCCTCATGGTGAGTCATACTGCCCCCAATAAGCTCCCAAATTCTTGCCCC